ACCCGACCGCCCCCGGTGACAAGAATGATATCAGATGTATATCCTGGGGCTATCATTGTTTTCATTTGTGGTGCCAACGGAGGGTAGACCAGAGCGGGGTCGTCTTCTAAACTCTCTCTCCCACACTGACATTCTTTCACGACTTTTGTTTGTGGCATATGACAGAATGTCTCCCCATAAACAGCAGTCAACCTTTCAATATTCTTTGGAGATTGACCCTCTCGGGTCAAGGGGTCGGTGGGATAGCCCCGTGGTTAAAGCGTTCGCTCGTCACTCCAAAGTCCCGGGTTCGATTCCCAACATGGGTACAATGTGTGAAACCCATTTCTGGTGTTCCCTGCTGCGTTATTTCTGGAATATTGCAAAATGCGGGGAGTAGCAGGGTACCTCAGAGTGGAAGTCAGCCGTCAGCAAGTCACTGGACTGAAGCGGCCACATTGTGAAATATGACAAAACAGGCACCTAACGGGATCGGGTTGTCAGGCTCGCTGACTTGGTTGATGCATGTCATCCTATCCTAAATGCGTAGAATGATGGTCAATCACTGGAATGTCTGGTCCAGACTCGATTATTTACAGACCGCCTTTATATAGCTGCACTATTGCTGAGTGTGGCGTTAAACAACAACAACAACAAAAAATCTTCCAACCTCTTTTAGACATATGGCGTAAATCCTGCTAGGGATCCACGCAGGTAGCAGAGGTTCTATAAGTCCCCATGGCCTCTGGTAAGGTGACCGACCATCTTTTGAGTGCTGGCGATCTGTAGCCTGATTTCTATATTGTGGAGTCATTTAATTTTAATAACAAACCTGTGGTGTGACTAGTCGTTTGACTGTCTTTTTATGGCAGTTTTTTTAAAGAAAATAATAATGCATTACTTTGTCTTGTGAAAATATATGGCAGAAATATTGTCGACGTGACTTTCAACTCATTCACTGTCAGACACAGCCGTCACTCACCGTTAGACATGGCGGTATTCAGTCTGTGTCGCTATGTCGGCATACAGTATAGCGTGATGGAACGTAACTTAATTTGGCCTAGATGACATGCAGAGACTATAATTATGCCTCATAAACTTATCTCCATGTAATGTGTGTATAGAGTTGGAGGTAATGATCCCATGGTTACTTTTAGTGGCATGACTCAAGCTGCTGTCTGACAATGAACTGGCTGTCTCATTATAGAAGCAGGCCTAGTCTGGTTACGTCCTTCATTCAAGTGCGTGAGTGAGTTGGTTTTAACGCCCTTTTTAACAGTATTCCAGCTTATAGTGGGAGGAAAGCCCGAAGTGACGCATGTCTCAGACGTTTACAACTTTGGTGAAACCCACGAGCACGGGTATGGTGCTGACAAACCTAGTAACATAATCGGGGCGAACCGGGATTCAAACCCACAATCATAGGTTTCTGGCGTGACCAAGGGACGCAACTCTGCACAGCGAATCGCGGCGCCTTAGACGACTGGGCCACCCGTGCCCCCCTACATTCCAGAGTTGGGACAAATTAATGGAGTTATGATAGGAAAATATAGGGGAAAATCGTACAAACCTATTGTGTTGTGTATTGTTTGTTTGTTGTTTAACGCAACACTCAGCAATATTCCAGCTTTATGACAGCGGTCTGTAAATAATCGAGTCTAGACCATACCATACAGTGATTGACATCATGAGCCTGAACACCCGATCCCGTTAGTCATCTTCTACGACATGCATTGTCGCCTCTTTTGAGAAGCATGGGTTGCTGAAGACCAGTTCTAACCCGGACCCATCACAGGATATACATCAATAGAGTCATAGAGAAGCTTGGACCTGATCATGTTGGGTGGCATCGCCAATAGTTCACAGGTTATGTAAACATTACATTTCTGAAAACCTGTGAAGTATTGACGATGGTGAACTGTCAACCACTGCATAAGAACATAATTATATATTGCCTTTAGGTTCTTAGAAAAGCTTGTGTGAAATAGTTTGCCACTTGCATACGTCAAGAGAGCTGTTTTGAATTGGAATTTTAAAAACAAACTTAAGCTAATCTAAAACCAACACAAAATGACAGTGGGAAGCAGATAAGTGGTGCAGTTACTCATACAGTCGGCAAATAGCCCCACAATCCTCTGTGACGTCGACCACCAGCAACCCACGCTACACCATATATTCCACGAGGCAATACACTATCATACGTAACGAGTCACAGATGAGCGGGTGGTGGTCTGTGGCTGGGTTAATGGAGGTCTTATACAGCTCATATCTGCGTGATGAGACATAACTGTTTCCATAAATACCACAGACAGATTTAGCATCTTCTAATACCCACATGTACTACGTCAATCGATCCTTTTACATTCCATGTCTTCGAGATACCCTTTATTTTTATTCTCCTAAATCAGATTTGATAGAACCGATAATAGCCGCGGTGCTATTTCCGTGCCGCATTCGGGGGTTGATTTGACGCCTCTAATACTGATACCACAAACAAGAGCTTGTTTTTAGTGAATGAAGGTTGTGGCTCCAAGATAAGACTGCCAATTTCTGCACTACTAGAAATCGATAGACTGAGATAGGTCTCTGAGAGAGTCTTCGCTTATAGACTTGCAACATCCCTACACGGTAAAATGACACACTTGAGTGTCGTTTAAACAGCTTATATCCTAGCGTTTACATGGGATATCAGAGTATATACAAATCGCTTAAAGGTATTATTTATATTAGTTCCGTCGCAAGAATGAACATCACTGCTTTCTCCAATATTTTTGGTTGTGAATTGGATTCCAAGATGAAAAGCCCACATTAAGTTTCTGTATTTTGGAATCTGTTTTGCAAGTTAAGTCTCAATTTTATTACCAATCAATGGAAGATGTAATATTTATGACCATACACAAGATACTTCATGGCACATGTAATCACAGACCCATTCTACACTCACATAACATTAATTCAAAGATGAGCATGTATTCATAAGGCTCTTCCCATGATCGATAAAGTGTCTTCTTTCATCGCAATTTTCTTGTTATTCTTTCTGACATTACCATCTGAAGGTAATGGCGCCGAGACACCGTCCTAGAATGGAATAGCATTAGGAATCTGAATCTGCCCAAGATGACCTTTGTGATATCGACGTGCATCCCGTTGCATGACTGATGAAGTTGTGCTGGAGCATCCACTGACTTCAAATGTCAAACTTTCTTCATTATATAGACGTGTATTTCCAGTAACTGATCTCTCACTCATGATCGTTAGGAAATGGGACCATTTTGTGATGCATAGAAAGAATATTTCTGATAATTTTAATAATATTTATTATCGTGATTTCTTGAAGAGGGACGCTGCTCTACAACCAGATGTCAATGTTCAGTCAATGTCTGGACGTTGTGATTAAAGCCGTGTGTGAATCTGAGAATTTGTTTCTAATATGATAGATTAATATATACTCGGCATCATTATTGAAGGGTCACCAAGGTATGTTTGGTGACAAACATGAACATATGCGAACAAGCGTCAACAGGTTTGAGTATCTTGACAGTGTGATTAACAGCTGAAGAACATGCAGCTTATGACTATCTCATACAGATTGGATGCTTTTGAGAAACTGGAAAAACGGACAACTACTATAAATAAAAATGAAAAGACAGTGTGATTAACAGCTGAAGAACATGCAGCTTATGACTATCTCATACAGATTGGATGCTTTTGAGAAACTGGAAAAACGGACAACTACTATAAATAAAAATGAAAAGTGCAAGATTGAAGGTGATGGAAAAAGGTACCCAAACCACAGCCTTCTCGCAGCCAGTAAAATGTCATTCTCTCTCTGCCAATAATTCAATGAGGACATGTTTGTTTTTTCATCTGTTTCTTGCAAAGATTGTAAAAAAACAAAACTTTTCAAAATAGCTAGAACTGCCAAACGAGACGAGCCTAGTCCCGCCTTTATAATGTTGACAGATCTTCGTGTAATTTATATGGATATAATGAGAATAATAATAATATATTTTGCGTGCGTTAGAGTGTTTATCACAATTCCATCGATATCACAGCGGGGAACAACCTTATAATGGACCACATACACTGTACCAATAGGGGATATTGATCCCCGGAGTTCCGTTGGATGAACCACGGACCTACATACAAGTCCGTGGATGAACCAACCTTATAACACCTAGGTTATATCACATAGAATATATGTAAGATTTACAAAAATGCAAACCAATGTTTAAGTTCATACCCACATGTTCAAATGACAACCTTGGAATGGCCGACCCAGTGCTGAATCATCAGAATGTCCTTACCGACCTGTAGATTCTGAAACGCCTGTCCCAATTTGATTGTTCTTTCAGTCAGATTATTGAATCTCCGTTGGAATTAACCTCGTTTCCTCAACAAAGATCGAAATTAATTTGATTTGTCTGCACCGTCATCTGTCGTAAGTCCATCCTCCCATGCTTTTACCGCTAAATCCCTGTGAGTGGATGGGAGAAAAAATATTTCAGAGCTTATTGAACCTTGTTCCCTTCACCAGTGCCAGTTAACAGGCCCCCTGTGTGCTTCACATATAGAACGCTTCTGGTGACCCAGCAAAGATGGGAGAAAAAACACACCAAACTTTACTTTCCTTGTGCTGTCCAACTGTGACATTAATTAGATATTAAGTTTAGAGACTACAGAGTGTTTTTGTTCACCTGATCCCCAAATTCATGGTCTTCTTAATGTCTAAATAAAACTTTCAAGGATAGAATGAACGAGTTGGGTTTAACACAGCTTTGAACAGTATTCCAGTAATTCATGTCTGCTTAATGTGGGAGGAAAGCCCCAAGTGATATTGGTCTCAGACGTTTACCACTTTGGTGAAATCCAGGAGCTCCAAACCCACAATCATAACGCTCTGTGGTGCGTTCAAGGGAATTGCAACACCTGAGACAACTGGGCCACCCTACTCCCAGTTTTACCTGTAAGTTAAATCAACTGTACATGTAGGCCAAAGAATAAATAATGGGACACATCAATAAAAGAAATGTCTTTATTGAGGAAATCAATAATGACTACAATGACTGGGGGTAAATGCATCTTTTGAACTGGCAATAAATACCTACAGCTACCAACATTATTGGCAAAAGTAGGGAAAATATCACATTTTGTCATGGTTAACATATTAAGTAACAGAAAATGATTTGCATTATTACCAAAGAGTTTATCAGATTCCATCTTACATTAACAAAACATATGATATGAAGTTAGGAAGCTTGAATTGAAAGTAAGCACAGTGTTTCGGCCAGGATTTAATCAAATAGTGCACATTTGAACATTACTTTTCAAAAAGTGTGCCAAAAATATCTAAGAGTGTGAACTGAATGATGACATGGAATGAGGATAAGATATTTCATGGTTGCCACTCCTATAAATGCTAACCATTAAACACATCTCATAGCAGCAATTGATTTCTCTGCAAAACAATGCTATTTTCCATTCATTATACACATTCCTAAGAATAGCTATAGCCGATGACATTTTTGTTCTAAGAAATCAAGAAGCGAATTAAGAAACGTTCAATGTTTTTAAGCATTTTGATGGATTGGTTAAAAAAATATTCAGTGAAGATTTTCTAGTATTATTGTTGCATTAAATATGTTTTTTTTTAAATTAAACATATCACTGACAGACATGCCCCAATGTATACACACTAGCGTTTATTCTTAATACTTAAATCTTAATTTCCACAAATATGAGTGAATGGCAAAGCAAGTTGCTTATAAACAAGGAATACCATGGACTTTAGACGCCAGTTTAGATTTGGTTACTCAGAAGGAAAAAGAAATAGTACTGGTTACATAAACAATGCATGCGTATAGCATGGTTTGTATGGTTTCTATTAGCAAGCAATAATTGCATAAAAAGACAAAATAAATATTAAAGAGCAACTCAGGAAATGTAATCAACACACAAATAATGTTAAGAGATAGGGGAAAGGACAAAAATAGGACTAAAATAAAAATGAAAATTGTTCAAGTAAAACATACAAACAATTAGGGACAGGTATTGGAGGTTTAAAGTGTAACACAATATTTTGCGATGCACAAGGCGATACGTATCACGATATATTGTATAGTTATAAATTTGGAATTCAGCAGCAATCTGATTAATTAAGGTATGAATTGAAGTTCATAAATGGAACAAAATAAGATGCTGGTACAACATGATGTTTACTCAGTCAATTAATACACAGCCAACTTGCAGCCCTGGATGCATACTGCAGGGTAGCAAAGGCATTTGGCAAGAAAATAACCTTTAAAAAAGAAATCGCTATTTGACATCAACTGATATATCAATATATGTGATCGATATATATGATATTGTGATACGTATCATGGAAAGAATGAACCTCAAATTACCAAAATACTGATAATACCGCACACCCTTACAAACAAAACTGTAAAACAACTAACACTGATCTGGCATTGGGAAAAAATAAACAATGACTAAAACTTTGTAAATACAAAATGATGGAATGTAAAGCAGGAATGATTTACTCCAGATCAAAATCACAAAATATTGACAATTCAGATGCAGTCTTTCCAATGTTGCATAAAACATGATAAAAGCTGATACATGTAGTGCCTTTGATATTGTTCACATACATTCAGAAAATTGTAGTCCACCAAAACATAGTACCAGTTTTACCATCAACGTGTTAACATGTAAACATGTCAGATATAGTATCAACAATAGTTCAAAGTGAGCTTGACCAATAAAGCATCATGGCCATACCAGTGCTCACACCAATGCACACACCAGTGCACACAGCAGTGCTCATACCGGTATCCATACCAGTACACACAGCATTGCTCATACCAATACACATAACAGTACCCATACCAGTGCATGCAGCAGTGCTCATACCAGTACCCATACCAGTGCTCATACCAGTATCCATACCAGTGCACGCAGCAGTGCTCATACCAGTGCTCATACCAATACACATACCAGTGTTTATACCAGAACAAATACCAGTGCTCATACCACTGTTTACCAGTACCCATACCAGTGCACGCAGCAGTGCTCATACCAGTATCCATACCAGTGTGAATACAAGTACAAGCAGCAGTGCTCATACCAGTACCCATACCAGTGCACATAGCAGTGCTCATACCAGTACACATACCAATGCTTATACCAGTGCACGCAGCAGTGCTCATACCAGTACCCATACCAGTGCACATAGCAGTGCTCATACCAGTACCCATACCAGTGCTCATACCAATACACATACCAGTGCACGCAGCAGTGCTCATACCTACCCATACCAGTGCACGCAGCAGTGCTCATACCAATACACATACCAGTGTTTATACCAGAACAAATACCAGTGCTCATACCACTGTTTACCAGTACCCATACCAGTGCACATAGCAGTGCTCATACCAGTACACATACCAATGCTTATACCAGTGCACGCAGCAGGGCTCATACCAGTACCCATACCAGTGCACATAGCAGTGCTCATACCAGTACCCATACCAGTGCTCATACCAATACACATACCAGTGCACGCAGCAGTGCTCATACCTACCCATACCAGTGCACGCAGCAGTGCTCATACCAATGCCCATACGAGTGCTCATACCTGTCCATACCAGTGCTTATACCAGAACAAATACCAGTGCTCATACCACTGTTTACCAGTACCCATACCAGTGCACGCAGCAGTGCTCATACCAGTGCACACAGCAGTGCTCATACCAGTATCCATACCAGTATGAATACCAGTACATGCAGCAGTGCTCATGCCAGTACCCATACCAATACACAAACCAGTACCTATACCAGTACACATACCGGTGCACACAGCAGTGCTCATACCAGTGCACACAGCAGTGCTCATACCAATACACATACCAGTACCCATAACTGTTGAACAGTACCACTCGTAGTTGATAATTCAAACAGTTTGTATGGTATGACAGATACATGTATAATCATGACATTATCATGCATTGTATTACATTAGTATCAGTGATGTGTTTCAGCTCACTACAGCATGCTAAACAGGTTGGACATCTCTAGGGAAACTAATAGTATACTACATCATGTATATGATGTAACCATGGTAACATAACAAGAAGATATATTTATATTTATAACATACACATAGTAACAGACATGGCAAGTTGCATACATTTGAATATTAAGTACATAATCAATCCCCTATATCATCTACATTGCCAACTTCAAGTCATCACATATTAAAACATGTCCTAGCCTCTCTCGCAGTAACATATTGTTTCAAGTTGTACTGTTTTTACTACAGTACTGACAGACCAAACATTAATATTCTACGGAGCCTAGATTTTTTGGGTAAAATAAAAACTATTCCAGAAAATACTAGAAACAAAAATCATTTTGCTTCAGGTTTTAACAAAAATATATAATTGTTTACTGAATGTCAAGAACAAAATGGGTTGTCAATGATAGAAACTAACTAGTTTTGTCTACTAGTCCTTATAATGATAACATATAGCAAAACCCTTAAAAGTGGCAAATTTCTACAGGTCTTTAGAAACACTAACTATTGGGCAGTTTGGCAAGGACTATAGGACTAGTGTCCACAAAATATTGTTTGACTCTCCCTCTTAGAGCATGTAGAGAAAAAGATGAAGATGTTGAAGGAATGACAAAACAAATATTCTCTCTTCAACACCCCCACCCCGAGAATATTAAATAGCAAGTCCACAACCATCTAACCATGCTAACATGACTAAGGAAGCTAAAGAGATGCTATCACATTTTCGTTATCATGTTCATAATTTCACATCATAAATATTCACTAGCCATTGGATGCATCAAAGATTATTGCACATAATGAGGCGATTTTGATTATGAAATCATAGATAAGGCTGATGTTAAAACACTGACATATTCTAAGGTAATAATCATGATGACACCTAACTACACATACTTAAATATTTTGAGACCCGTTAACATCTGGGTTAGAATTGGTCTTCAGCAACCCATGCTTTTCGTAAGAGGCAACTAACGGGATTGGCTGGTCAGAATCGGTGACTTGGTTGATGAATGATATCGTATATGAAATGTGTAAATTTATGCTCAAGTTGTCAATCACTGGATTGACTGGTCCAGAGTTGATTATTTACAGGGCCCATCATACAGCTGGAATATTGCTGAGTTTGGCGTTAAACAAACAACAAATATTTTGAATGACAGGAAAAGCAAGAATAATTCAGTCAAACTTTTGCTAAATGCTGAAAATATGCAAAATAAGGCGATCTCCTTCAAATCAGGACTAACACTAGTAGAAGTAGAATATCCCCTCTATCATTGGATCATGTTGATAGAGTAACATGTTCAGACATTATCTCTCAATATCTGTGTTTAGACATGTCTCATAAAACGATAACTTCATGTAGATCTAGCCATCAGAAATAAAAGGGGGAATTGGCTCGGGCCATTAGGCAGTACCAGAAAGTGACTGAAACTGTTTAAACACCACTTTGCTTTCTGAAAATGTATCATGTTTATCAATCTAACGGGTAATAATAACCCTAATTACACAGAGACAATGTCTCAGATTCACACAAGGCACAAATTGCAATGTCTAGTTCTTGATTGGAAACAGGTATGGAACTGTGGCAAAGACTCCTAAATCTTTTGTCTTAAACAAGAAGTTTTGACAATGACCCTTTGGCTTTGATCCTTAATTTTGAACACTGTTTGGATCATTTATCTCAGGAACCATATCCCCATGTCACAATGTGACAAATTCATCTCATCATGTGAATATATTAAGTAAGGACTGTCTTGCAATGTTTCCCTTCTTGTAACTAAGTCACGAATAAATAGATAATCTATACTAACACAACATTAAATTAGCCAGTCATGAAAGTCTGTCTGTATGTCCCCAACACTAATGTTCAGTCAATACACCTATTCTTAACCATGTTAACATGCTAAACTTGCATATGACATGATCGTGGATATTTTGCAATCTTAACATCATTGATTTGGTTAGGGACATACAAGTATGCCATTTGGACATTTAAATTATATAAAATTTTGGCAAGACATGTTTCTACCCCATCACTAAAATTGAAAAATATTTTTGGATGGCAATCAATTAATGTCCTAGAAAATGAGCTGATCTCAAACATATTGATATTTTTCTACATGAGACTTGTCTAGAAGAAGCATTAACTTAATGTGTTGTATATTGTGCGAATTGTCCTTAAAATTTTAAGATGCATTACAGTTATTTTAGCAAATCTGTCATCATGGTCATAATAGTTTTAAGTAAAATATAACATAATCTTAAGAAATACATGACTCAAGTTGGCTAGTCAACTTTGTATATTCTTTGGCTTAATATTGTCATTCTAATTTATTGGCACCATTAGCAAACCTTCCTTTATGGCTTAGAGTTGATATCGGAACATACTGTATTTTCTGTTTGAACTGAGAGACATCTGGTCAACACCTTTATATATTATTCATAGTAAACAGGATATATTTTTGTACATTCCTCAACAAAATGTTCAAAAACAATTGTGTATACATAAAGCTGTATCATTTTAAACAAATAACATGAAAAATCATGATAAATATATTTGGCAAATGGACAAAATAAATGTTGATCTTTTGAGCAAGGCATACGACTGGAGCGTTATTCAATAACTTCTTGATCAGAATCGCATTGTACATGTTGAAGATCTCTCAACACTAAAGTCAGGCATGCTCATAGCACGTGTTTCCCGAGGAACACCTTCTTGCATTTCAACATCCTCAATCCCAGAACTGGGGGCAACTTTGGGATTTGGTCGTAGTTTGAGACTTGTGAGACTCATAGTCCTTTTGGTAACCCATTCAGACAGGGTTTCCTCCCTTGGTCGTTGTTCGATGACTTGAAGAACACACGACCTCATTACACCTGGTAGCTCCCGAACAGGTCGTTCACGAAGCACAGCATCTCGAAACAGTGAGATGATTTTACCACATTCACTAGACGACACCTTGTAGCAAAGTTCCTCCAATTCCAGACGTTCAAGTTGGGGTACTTCATAAGCTTTTGGTGTAACACTGACTAGCCAAGAGTAATCCACTCCTGTTGTACGGCGTTTATCTTCATCCTCCCTATCTCTATTCCTTTTATCAATATCACGAATATGAAACTCTAGTTCTGAGAGGAGAGAATCAGCAACCATCACATGCTCATCTTTTTCAGGTGGTTTGTAGGTGTCTGTGGAGAGCCATCGTCTGTTCCAAAGAGACTTGAACGCCATCATTCTAGTTTTACCGCTACCAATTCAGCGATGTGAGAACATTCACATTTTCATGTCTGATTTCTTTCTGTAATCAAATACAAATGATATTCTTAAATCATTGTATATGCTGCAATGAATACAGTAAAAACATAATTTGATTACATTGAAAGTCAGTGAGAATGGACTGTAATATGTGTCAAGGATCCAAGCTTTGGGGTTACCTATCCTAACCCTGAAACAACTAACCCTATGGATTGAAGAGGCATGCGTAAATATGTCTATACTAAATAAGTTTTCTTGAGATATATCTAGTTTTTAGGAAACTAATTAGATCTAGGTGGCGAACAGATTCTATAATACCAACTATCAACTGACTATAATCCTGCCTCCCTACCCAGGCAATAATTTTTAATACAACTGGTCTTATCTATAGGAGACTTTATAATCTATATATTTTGGTATGTTAGAAAAATATCTTCATACATATATGCATAACTCTATGACATTGAATATGTTATAGTAATATTTTCAAGAGCAACTCAATCTGTCATTAGGCCTAAAGGATCCGTGGTCTAACGGAATCATAACAGATTTAAACTGACGGATTGAACAAGTTGTCTGATCGTGTATCCCCTTGCAGTAAACAATTTTAAGAAATGCTACTGTTTGCCGAAATACGACTGACTACTCGCATTGTACCCTTCGATACCAAGTCTGTTATGGCTAGTACAGCTTCAGTAGAACAAAACGATTCATCAACAACTTCACTATTGTTGACACCCGTCATTGATGCAACATACGTCAGAATCAAAAGTTTAAAAACTAAATCCAAAACATAGACAATACGGTAAAGAATGAATTACCTTATACGGACATAAACGGACAACAAAATCACCCTTTTCCGCACAATAGGTCTCACCTAAGACACAAGGCAGGTTCTTCCTTGGAATAAGTTTGATAGCAGACGCGTTTTGCGTGTAGAGACACGTTTTATTTGATTGGTTAATTGGGTTTTATTGCAACCAATCATTGCTGGTTTCAGCAAAAAACACCCATGGCCATAGTAGCTTCATTTTGATTGGTTCATATATTATCTTCACCCAATTGGACTCATCGATACGTTACTCAGCATAGGAAACCAGGAAATATGGCGACTCACCACCAACCTGCGCCTCATCAGAGACCAATTCAACAAGACTGGGCTAACAGAGAATACATAGAAGTGATAACCTGTAGCATCAAGAAAATATCAGATTTCTTGAATTCATTTGGTGAGCCAGTTTGTATCATGCTCGTGAAATTGTGTTGGTTCATAACACTTGACACTGCTATGACAATACACATCCTCTAAAGTCGGAAGTCTAATGTCAACAATAGTAGATTAGTCAATGAAATATGGTGACATTGGTTTAGGACCTATACATTCTACTACTTTCATAGTTGGGACAAGGCCTCGCTGTCCAGTTGTAGCAAGTTGAGTCTTAATACTTGGAATAGTATTATGTTTGGGGTGCAGGCTAAAACATCACCGATATCTCAGTCGAAAACGATACGCATGGCACTAGTGCAATATAGGGGGGTATGTATTTTAGCATTTTTTAAAGGTTCCTACAGGGGGGGGGCACTTAAGGCCCTATATGTTTGGTCGTGCCATAGACGGCGCAAATAGGGTAATTAGAAATGGGATCCAAACCATGGATATGATGGAGCACAATACTCGTTTTTTTATATAATACTGATCATGCTGTTGTTGACAAAGTGTCGAAAACGTGGAAGTAATTTTTCTCTTGCATTGTTATCTTGCCTGTATCTTTGACTACAAAATGGTGGCGACTGACTATGCTGTGTATGATTTACTTTAGTATGAAGAAAAAAGGATGTATGCATGTAGTCGGTGTCATTCACTATGAGACATTTTTACTCCCAATCTATTTCGCACAGGTATTGCAATACAGATATCTGTATCACAATATATTGCATTACATGTTTTGTCAATGCACAACCCTAGTTGTGCTCATTCTTTGCCTCTTTCTCTGAACATAATGTGGCATTTACTACACTGTAGAGGACCGCCTCTATGGTCTAGTGGTAGCGCGTCCACCTGGGGAGAGGAAGGTCTGGGGTTCGATGCCGGGCCACGTCATACCAAAACTTGTTAAAAGATGGTACTTGATGTTACCCTGTTACCCTGCGCTTGTCTAAGGTGCTAAAACGAAGACTGGTAGGCTCGGAGTCAGTATACTGTGTCTGAGTGGGGTATTCATGTTAAACTGCGGCATGGTATCTCATTGAGCTAGCACTATAAATCGGCATCAGTCCAGACTAGTACAAGCAGCCACACATTTCACCTCACCTACACTGTAGAGTACTATACTTGAACTTTCTGTCATCCTTGTTTCAGACATGTCATGCCGTTCAAGACTTGCCACTCTGAATGAGAAGTTGTCAGAATTAGAGCGAAGGGTGGAGTATATCGAAGCAAGGGTGAGTACACTCTTCCCTTCTTATCAAATCATATCAATACAAATATAAAAATCCTATCAATACAAAATCAGAAATGTTATCAGTACTAACACTCCCAATAAATATGTGTACCCTACTCATACACGAGTCCCAAAGAGGGGCAGGTCAGCTGAAATTGCTTAGGCAGAAGACGACCTCTTAAACCTTTAAAAGTAACGACTGCCTTTGTGGTCTAGTGGTAGAGCATGCGCCCGGAGAGCGGAAGGTCCGGGGTTCGATCCCCAGCCGCGTCATACCAAAAGACGTTAAAAGATGGTACTTGTTGTTACCCTGTCTGGTGCTTGGCATTAAGGGGCTAAAACAAGGGCTGGTCGGCTCGGAGTCAGTATACTGTGTCTGAGTGGGGTATTCATGTTAAACTGTGGCATGGTATCTCAGTGAGCTAGCACTATAAATCGGCATCAGTCCGGACTAGTACAAGCAAACACACACGTACATGCATGTCGTTATATAAGTGCAATAATCTTGGACGCGACGTTAAACCCCATTTCACCCACTCACTCACCTTTAAAGTAACCTTTAACATGTTTAAGACTCTTCTGATGTTTAATTCTTTTATGAAAAGTAAAGCTCATGTATTAGTCATGTTAATATTACTCATTACTCATACTGTGGTAATCTTTTTAACATTTTCATTGGATGTAATGCAATTCTTAACCATCTGGAGAAGTTTTGTAATTGATCATGGCAGACTGTGTTCAACAAGTTGAAAAGAATATATTGTAGAAAAACCACACATTTAGATCTGCTACCAAAGTGTTATAATATAACTATTACAAACATTCAATAAACAAAGATATACAATGTAATTTAATGAGTTCCTTTTCCATGTCTACATTGTTTGCCTGAGTTTGTTTAGATGCCATTTTGTTGTCTGAAAATTTGATACTTACATCTAACATGTCCAATGTCCCGCCTGCCTCAACTTCAATGTTAGAAATAGAAGTGATGCAGATATACAAGTTTACAACCAATGATCACTGGATTCTTACCTCTGAATATTGCTTGCCAGCTGCATAAAGGTTGATTGGATCCCCTAAATCTGAATACTAAGGCTTAAAAAATGGCTTCAATGGCTTTTGGCAAAATAGCGCTGCCTTTTTTTTTTCTTTTTTTTTCAAAATGGAAATAAGGACAAAACCTGCGGTGGACTTAATGATGGTGCAGCAGTGCCAGAGAACCAAGACTATTTTGTTTTATTAGCCTTAAGCTTATGCTTATAGTTTTAACATGCTAAATTTCTGAATTCATACATTCTGAGCAATCCCCCTTGTCTCTTCCTGCTTCTGCAATGAAACACATTTATTTCAAAGATTCAAGCATCATTGTGTTGCTATAGCAGATATACACAACCATCATCATCATATGTACATTCTTAAAATTGACGCAGGGATGTTCAATCCACGTTGAGTAGCATATCAGTTATTATATTATGGCTTAATCATCTGAATCAAACTGATGTAGCGGCTTAAGCCTATTTATTATAAAACCTGTTGGACAAACTTGTCCTTTGCTCTCCTTCATCTTGACATTTCAATTAATTAGTGGGGCGGTCGGGTAGCCTGGTGGTTAAAGCGTTCGCTCGTCACGCCGAAGACCCGGGTTCGATTCCCGACATGGGTACAATGTGTGAAGCCCATTTCTGGTGTCCCCCACCATGATATTGCTGGAATAGTGCTAAAAGCGGCGTAAAACCATACTCACTCACTCAATTAATTAGTTGATTGTTTTAATTTTAACTTTCTTACTGGACTAGTAATGTTCATCATTTTCATACACTGCATGAATTTCAGGTGTATTATTACCATGAAAATTATCTCCATTATCTCATGAAACAAATATCTTTCTTTTCAGATAACTAAAGGAGAGACACTATCATGATCCCATCAGTGAAGCATCGATGGCTTTTCATGTGTACAGTTTCATTGTAGATCTGTTAACTGTGTTTCAGGTATGAAACGTTTAAACCCAGGACTGTGTAGCAGGTTTCAAGACAATCACCTGCTCTACCTGTAATCTCATGGGTCCCTTGCAACTACTGCTTGAAGCAGAATGGGTTCCCTTTCAAAACTGTCTGTCTGCAATAGATTCAGTGTAAAAGTGTCTCAATGACAGCCAGTACTTTTGAATATGGAACTACAATACCAATCTGGTTGAAGGACTAGTGATTTTAAGATTTCCGAATCAAGGGCAAGGGAGGCATGTTAGTCTTTTCTGTGTTGAATAGAGAAAAGAAATAATTTGTTTATAATGTACAATCGTGGTCATGCCTATCTGGTTTGAAAGTATGAAATTATATTGATATGAACATTGACATACTAAATATTTTAGAATTTTTGTGGTGTGTGCGAAACCATTTTATATTTTTATTACATTTTGTACTAAGAATTTTTTTTCCTACGTTTTTTTTCCTGGGGTAGTTTGAAAATGTTTTAATTCACCATGTATAATGTCAGTTGCTGAAATTTTGAAATATTGAAACATTTATTGTACCATCAAGTCTTGTTTCCGTGTTCAAAGAGCCAATTACAGATGTCACATCAACAGCCTATTGCTCTTCTGTAGTCAACTTGGGCATCTGTCAAATATGTAGTGCTTTGTGATCTGATTGTAATTGGTATTGAATCACTAGAAGTTATGATTGATTGAGACTTTAATAAAATTGCTGTGTCTAACTGCGATAGTGATATACTTTTTTTGCTCAGTTCAAAATTCTGTGCTTTGAATTGAGGCTGAAACAACTCGATTCAAGGAGGCACTGCAATATTAATTTCAGGAATACAATTGTATTGTGTGTTGTTTCATAAATTGTTTTAAGTATCTGAACAGAATTGTCTTCAAATTGTTATTGACATTTTTTGGTTTTACCATATAATTGTTCTGTGTGGTGCTGTCAACATAACACTTGACATCACAAAGGGATTTTGGAAAATTAACCACCTTTGGTTTTTCATCAAAATTAGAATATATTCAGAACTTATTCTGATATAGTGTATTGAGATGTGTAATTGTACTGAGATGCATCTAGTATCTTGACTTCAGTATGTTCTGTGCATCGTTTCTGTCATAGATCATATTAGAATAATAAAAATTGTACTATTACATAAAGATGAGGTTTTGGATAAAAAGCGAAATTCTGGGAAAAGATTTTACTCTGAATATTAACTTGCCCAATAAAATAGATGCAGCAACTTGCTAGAAAAAAGTCAGTATCTTTGTGTAATTTACACAAATTATGAAGATATTTCCACACTTTTTTCTTTTCACATTGTAAATTATCAAAATGCTTCTTGCAATTATGCATGCTTGTAAGATATTTATTTATATTCTCTGATGTAGAAATAAACACATTCTCTAGATTTGCTGTATCATGATTTATTGGCTAAGACACAAAGTTTGTGTACTTTTATTAAGCCAGGAGACTGGTTGATGTATATGGTCAAAGGGAGATAACCTGACTGCATAGTTGCAGGATCAAGCACTAACATCAAATTTTCGAAGCAGAACAGCTTTTAACAGCAAGTTTAGCAAGAATTGTTCTCTACTGAACCATATTTTTATTTAAGCGAGGAGACCTAAGCCAGGTTGATCTGGTCAAAGAACAGGGAGATAATCTGACTGCATCAGTAGCAAGTTTGAGATATCAAGCACTAGGAACGTGAGAATTTTTTGTACACTGACCATACTTTCACCCGAGCTACAAACTTCTGTTCAGTTCAGAGGGCTATGAGACAAGAGTGAGGATATTCTGTGTAAAAAGAGATTCTCCTTTTGGGGGTCGGGATTAAACAGCATTAAATTACTGTTAAACTTTAATATGATGGTTGGCCATTATTCCCAGAACACGCATGGCATAGCATACACTCTGCTGCCCATTTAGAAATACTTGCTACAGTCTTCCAAGTAGTTGCTTGATCATGTTGATACACTGCTGCATTTATAAAATGAAATAACATATGATGGAGTAGGATTCCGAGATTGTCAGGACCGTCTCCCTGGTATAGTGGTAGAGCTTCCGCCCGGAGAGCGGAAAGTTTGTGGTTTGATGCCCAGCTCGGTCTTACCAAAAGACGTTAAAAGATGGTACTTGTTGTTACCCTGTCTGGCGCTCGACATGAAGGGGCTAAAACAAGGCCTGGTAGGCTCGGAGTCAGTATACTGTGCCTGAGTGGGGTATTCACGTTAAACTGCAGCATGGTATCTCATTGTGCTAGCACTGTAAATCCGCATCAGTCCAGACTAGTACAAGCAGACACACACACACACATGCATGCACATCGCTTTATACATGCAATAATCTTGGACGCGACGTTAAACCCCATTTCACCTCACCTCCTTGGTTGTCACATATTCTTCCATTTCACAAACCATTTATTTCAGCAATATGGTAGGGAGATTCCCTGTGTCTGTCAGATGGCAACTTTGTCAAACAAATGTTCTCCGAAGAAAACAAAACATGCACTCAACTGCAAGATTTTATTCAACAACTTTATACTCAGCTTAATACATGATAAATGGTTTTTATTCTGTTAGGTGGCATGTTACAGGGTCCTGTGTGTTATATATACATCACAACACCACAGAAACGACAGGCACCCAGCTGGGCACATGCCATAATCAATCAAGCAATGTTAATTCATGGAAGTATATTTGCACATTCAGGTTTCCAAATCAAATAATCAATAGAAATATACAATGTGTCTACACTATGATACAAAAATAATATGATATACAGTTATCTTGAAAGCAATGTTGGTGCCATTAAGCATGTTACAAGAGATATACACAGGGATTCAACTTATTTGGCCGGTGAAATCAAATGATTGATGACATGAAATTCATCACAGATTCTGTCGATTTTAAATACTTTGTATATCAATAAACTGGGTAAAAGCAGGTGATATCCTACAAACACATATCAAACTCAGACCTGACACCTTTCTGCATCAGAGATGCCATATTCCATAAAATCAGCTGCAGGTTGCATATTTCACTGAGCATGCAATAGACATGAAATGGACGAAGAACTGAAAAGGGCGACCCTCTTGTTCCTGACAAGCAGTGCAATCTACATGACTTGCATGCCTCATGTTTTGATTATAGCCACTGTCAGCCTTGGTGCTATATGTGGAGAGTTGAATACACAACTCGTATATCACAGCAGTAACAAACCAACTATTGTTCTGTTTGGTTGTGGAATATGAGCTATCTAATCCTCACAACAGCTCACTACTATTTAAAGATATGATGGCTAAATACAACATAGGTAATTTATTAATCTACCAAGCATTAGTATGTCTGACAGTTGGATATTCAAAACCCATCGAGCATAATGTCAGTGAAGATATAGCTTCAATGAATGCCTTTCTGTTCCAGCACCACGTACTTGGGGAGAAATGGTTACATGTGCATGTCAGACATCCTTATGTTGTTTAAACAAGCGAAGAAGTAAACTGGAGTTTAGAAAGGAGGGATGTGAGGTAGATTACTAAGACGTAACATTCTAGTATCAGGTGTGTGATAATGTAAAGGTTGAGAAACAATTTGTGTTTACAAATATGCATGCCTGCTCTTGGCATAAGGAGGCCATTGAAGATGCTTGCAGTAGTGGCCTCTGAACATTCAGGATATATATTTACAACATGCAACTGCTAAAACAGTATCACAGACAAAATAGTAATAAATTCTAAATATAAATAAATATCACAGATAGCTGCATCAAGATAATGAAAGATTCTTTGCATTATTTAAAAAAATGGAAAGATATGTCCAATTCATGAAATGGTTTTGATAATTGTGAAATTCAAACAATATTTTCCAAAACATATGCTGTATTGTTTTGGCATTTGGCTCTGATTTTCATTAAAATGTTTCCAACAAGAAAATTATCATATTTTGCATAGAGCTAAAAACAGATTCTCGTGATGTCAAAGATAAAATTGGTGGTAGTTCATTACTGAAAAAAATCCTGAAGCTGCCACAGTGCCCAGTGTCCCAAACATGACATGGTACAGTCATTGTACTGGTGATAACTACGTGATTGTCCTGACAATGACATGATTCACTAACGTCATCAGGATGTTAATTATGACTGCAGACTGAATTAAACGTTTACAAAGTTATGCTCAATAACAACTTGCATAATATTAAATATTTTCATGGCAAATCAAGGCAAATTTAGCTCTAGAATGGAATTTGACATGGAAACATTTGATTCTACGGGCACGTCATTCTCCAAATGCTGCCTTAAAATTAAAGACCAGACTTAGTATGTGTAAAATAAATAAATTTGCAATTCCAAGAGCCTAACTCTGGTCAAGATAATCTCTTGACTGCACTACTGCAATGCTGTCTGTTCCAGAACTTCCATGCATATATCCTCATATGCACTGTAGCACATTCTCCGAGTTCGATGTCAGTGGTCACAACGTAATTAATGTGAGACGACCACATGGACACAGGTCTATACATAATGGTTGAGTCTGTTGGCGCTGACTGGCCTGTTCCGAGTCCTGTACGATCGGGGTGATGTTGGGCGGAGTCGGGCGAGGTACGGACTGTTCTGTAACTGAGGGGGGGATACGGAAGCTGAGGCTGAGAATGGCCGACTGTTGACACTGATCCGTGTCTTCTTCCTCTTGGGTGAGTGCTTCCTGCGTAGAAACACCCTGTCTGTGCCTGCTGCGTTATCGGCGTACCCGTTGTGCGGAACGTACTTCAGCTCGTGAGACGGGCTGTGTTTAGACCCAGGGACAGGAAGGGTTGGGTCGTCCTTCCCCAGCATGATGGTCACATTCTTTGGTGAGCCGTGGCGGCTGTTCTCATTGGTGAATATAAGTCCTGAAATAAGGAAGAACTAGTAAGTGAAAAACATTGATGGGAAAACTTCCACATTTAGTCTCCTGACATGTAGGCTACAGGTGCGTGGTGTCTAACAGTAACATGGCTGACAGTGACTTGGACTACAAGCCAAGCAGATGGAACTTGGAAGGTGAATGTAAGTGAATTAATGTTATTTAACACCAGAGTCAGCAATATGCCAGCTATATCACGGTGACCTGTAAATAAGCCTTGATCAAGCAGACCAGTGACTACACAAGAATGCCGACCCATGGAAGCATGATGAGACGGACTCAGCCAAGTCACAAAGCCTACACATTACACCTTAAACAAGCACATGTTACTGGGGGCCAATTTTACTGGAAGTAAAGGTTGAATGTAGTGGGGTGTTGGGAGCGCGACCCATATATCATGACTCCATCCCAGGCTGGACGTCTTTAACAGCTCAAATATCACCAGACATGATGCTATCAAGTAGAATTCTTTTCAACGGAACTGTATAGCATCTTACAAACAGACAATCTGTAGTATCTCTTCATATTACTTTCTAAACAATTCACTATATTAAACAGAACCTTTGCAAGCATACAATTAGGAAAATGTTATGTTTTAATTTTGTTTATGTCTCCAACTCTGCTAACAGATGGTCCCACCTGAGTTGAAGAGTTCGTCATCCAGGGTCATGTCGTTTTTGCAGCAGTCACAGTTGTACACAGGGCAGGGCTGGTGGAGCACCTCACTCATTGTGTGACGCATGAAGGCCGAGAAGGACGCGTAGTCATAGGCACTGTACCGACCATGCCAGGCGATGTACCCTGAGGCAAGAAAACAAAACAGCATCTCATTACAGGCTGCACAAAGGACATCAAGCATGTGAAGCACAAAGGACATCAAGCATGTGAAGCACAAAGGACATCAAGCATGTGAAGCACAAAGGACATCAAGCATGTGAAGCACAGAGGACATCAAGCATGTGAAGCACAAAGGACATTAGCATGTGAAGCACAAAGGACATTAAGCATGTGAAGCACAAAGGACATCAAGCATGTGAAGCACAAAGGACATCAAGCATGTGAAGCACAGAGGACATCAAGCATGTGAAGCACAGAGGACATCAAGCATGTGAAGCACAGAGGACATCAAGCATGTGAAGCACAGAGGACATCAAGCATGTGAAGCACAAAGGACATCAAGCATGATGCTTTTATCAATATTCCAGCATATTAGGAGACACCAAGAATGGACTTCCTATTATGGACCCATTTAGGGAATCTAACGTGAGTTTTCAGGATGAGAAAGAAACATGAACAATTGGCAACATCACAGCCCCTCTGCAGGGAGTTGTAGATTAGCTCCCTTTATTTCCTACAAAAACAGTTCTCTAACATACATCATATATTGCATTGTCAGTACTTCACAGGTTTTGTAAACACTACATTCTTCCATCAACGAGGAGTGTAGTGTATACAAACCTGTGAACTGTTGAAGATGCATATATTGATGCATGACAGGGAGTTTAACAGACTTATTCAGAATTGCAAGCACAGCCATCTTTTGTGACCCTGAGTCCACTACGGCCCTCACAATCCGCCGTGACCTACCATCAGGGTGGAGGAAGAGGAAGGTGGGGACACCCGCGATACCCAGCAGCTCCGTCAACTCCATCTGCCGCTCGCCCTCCAGGTCACTCTCTAGTCTCATACCTACAACATACACAGGGTTTCTACACAGACCTACAAGGCATTATTAAGACTCTGTTCCCAGGCCATGCATGTTAAATTATAGCCATGCTGATTGGCTAAATGTCACAATTGCAAACGCAATCTCATCATATGCATATTAAAACATGGTGTACTTTAGAACGTTCCCTTCTCTATGATGCGAATTTGGCAGATTCAACTATCAACAGCACTTGACGATCACTGGACGGGAGATAACCCTATGGTTCAGGGGTGAGAATCTTCCACGGATCCGCGAATTTCCGCGAATTTTAGTGACTGCGAATCTGTTAAAATCTCATTGCTTCCCCCTTAACACCCCCAAATTATGGACATGCTCCATTGCAAAGATGTTTCAGCTGAAAAGGGAAATATTCATTCTCATCCCTGATGGTTGCAGACCATATACAGATTGCATACAAATTTATATATTTACTGATCTTTAAAGACATTTTGAACTATGAAAGTATACATACATTTTTATGTAATGTAAACTTTGAGATTGGCACTTGCCAGGCAAAAGGCTTTTTCAAGGCAAATTATCCATTTTCAAGGCAGAATCTAACTTCAAGGACCTTTCAATGCAGGCCTCACTTTTTCAGAAAAGTTCAAACGTTGATACAGTGACCAACAGGAACAATGGCTGAATACACAAAAAATATCACCAAATCTTGGATACCACTGTAGCTATAGCTGCTGCAGCTGAGTTAGTAATGCTGATAAAAATACTATCATCATCTGCTAAAACATCTGACCTGAATCAGCTGTGAATCTCAGTCATATGTTAAAGTAAATATTGTTACTGTGATCCTAGTCCAATGACAATGTACCCTGCTTACCAGTAGGCGTCTTGCGGACATTATTTGCAGCCTCGTAGACGTTGGATGCACACTCGTTGGTGCAGTGCCAGACCATGCCGTCCTCGCGCCAACCATTGGAGGTGATGAGATGGATGAGGCTCTTCCTGTCTGCCACCGATACGCCGGACATGCCGCACGTCACGGCAACAAACGTAAACTGTAACACAGAGAAATAAATGTTACCCACACAGGTGGCTGTCCTAGGATCTTCAGGTCTCCTGCTAAAGTATTTGAATCCAGAGAGCGTCAGCATCTTTGACATCAGGGTTATGACAAGGACTTCCATGCTTAATTATTGGAAGTCCAAGTGTCCAAGTGTATATATAAGTTTGGATACACAATATTCAACATGTAGTGTTTCCCAGAGACTATTTCCACCAACCAGTAATAGTAGTTTTGTTGTGATTCACCGGTACACCGGTGCATCGTCGGCAAACCTTGCACAATACGATATCCGATACACTTATTCTCATCGATTCTCATTTAACTTCATGTTGATTGTCCATGTTGATCTTGCATAGATATCAATAAGCAAGTACATACTATTTTTATTATTCCTCCAAACTGTCTTGTTTCGGATACGAAACCTGCCTGATAGCAAGACTGACGGCTGCCTATCAAAATACCGTACGTAAACTTGTTCGTTTCTTATTTTCTTATACAGAATAGTAGGCTTGACTCAGTGTCATGTTGATGGGTATTAGTCAGTTACCAGTTGCCCTCCTAACCTTAATGAGCGAGCCTATGGACTCCATTCTGTCAAATGACAGAATTTCGTTTTTTCCGTACAGAATGTCAAATATGCAATACTGAGATACATATCATATGGTGGCTTCTGTAATGAGATACGTATCATATGGTGGCTTCTGTAATGAGATACGTATCATATGGTGGCTTCTGTAATGAGATACGTATCATATGGTGGCTTCTGTAATGAGATACGTATCATATGGTGGCTTCTGTAATGAGATACGTATCATATGGTGGCTTCTGTAATGAGATACGTATCATATGGTGGCTTCTGTAATGAGATACGTATCATATGGTGGCTTCTGTATCAAGATATGTAGTGTATCGTGGCTTCTGTATCAAGATATGTTTTGTATCGTGTGACACCTGTATGGGTACATCCTTAAGTAATAGTATAATTATTTTACCTCTTTAGCAGTTTCCCTGGCAAATCTTGTGTAGAAGGACATGATCTGTTGTGAAGGTAGGCACCTGCATAGATGAAAAGCAAGCAAGGTTATCTTGACGAAAGAAACTCTACATGCATACTCCAAACAAACAATCAATATCTCAATAAAACAAAAGTCAATAGATTCAAACACAGGACATGGTGAAAGTACAAATATCTATTTAGTCCTGAGATGTGCAATATACTTAGATGAAGTCTTTTACAGGCATTTAGAAGTTGGTAGGACATGCTGACTTGCAACCTTTATGGCTAACAAAAAAGTCTTCGATGAATAGTTAACCGTCGTACACATTATAAGGCTACATAGAGATACAGCAGAGCTGCCTCACCATGGTGTCCAGAAGAGTAGCACAGTGGGATGCTGGGGTTTGTGTGCTCCCATGAGGGGCTTGAACACCCCGTCGAACACATCCAGGAGGCTGCAGGCGGGCGGTGGCACGTGTTTCTGCAGCAGTCCCTGGTTGGCCAGCTTCTTGGCTACCTGCCGCTCATACATGATGGAGTCCTGGTACTTGCAGCAGCCGTACGACGGCCACCTGCAACACACAACATGACATGCTACACCTGTCACGCCTGGTCGTCGCAAGCCAAGGCTTCCCCAAACACCTAATGCACCTGTCAATGGGCTTGGCTGCTGAAGTCAGGAATACCCCAGCAAGCTGTGAAGTGTAACCGACCGCACGAAGGTAAGCCAGTTGTTGACCACGTTTATTTGTTGTTTAACATCGCACCAGCAATATTCCAGCCACGGCGGTCTGTAAATAATCGAGTCAGGACCAGACAATCCAGTAATTGACATCATGAGCATCGATCCACGCAATTGGGATATGATGACATGCATCAACCAAGTCTGCATGCCTGTCCACCCGGTCCCGCCTTTTATGGCAAGCATGGGTTGCTGAAGACCAATTCTACCTGGATCTTCATGGATCATGCAGGCAACTTGCCTGCATGATAACGTGTTCAATTACTAGCTTGCCGGTTGAATGCAACCGATAGCCAACTTAGCAAAACCTACATCCTGATACGTTGAACTTGTATATATTAGATCTATGTGTCATTGAATGGCTAAAAAATTGTATAAATATCATGTATATATGTTATGAAAGTGACCCTTGAGTTTATTCGTTTCATTCATGCATGAACATCCAGCAACTCAGATATGAGTTGGCCGTGACCAAAATGCAAATGTCCAATTGGCCAAAAATATTTCCAGATCAATGCAGGCAAGACAGCAGGCAGTGGACACACATACAGCGTTTAGTCAGGTGTAACCCATCGTGGCAAAACCTTCATCATCAGAGTCACAGATGCATTTTAATTCCTGAAGTCATCATTGACAAGAAATTTATCAATATCTATTACAATGATATTCATAAACATACTTATCCTGCATTACATAGGTAATGTAATCGATTTCATTATATGCAAATGAGTTAATGATTTATCAATTTGTAACTGATTTGATATTTATAAAATTATCCTGCATTCCATATAATGCAAGAGATTACAATACCTATGGAATGCAGGATAAGAGAAAACTTTGGGAAGTCGGGACCCAGAATCTCCACAGGGCATGTAATATGGTGCTGAATCTCCTTTCAAAGATACAAGACGATTTTAACAGGTTTACATTAAAGGAAAAAGTTTCTTAAAAATACTTGGGTAAAGGCGGTTACTTTACATGAAGCCTACAGCCCAGGCAAAGTATTTCTGTGACGTTCAATCAGTGACATTGGGTAATCTGATCTGATGTGTTGAGGATGTGACTACAGCCAGACAGCAAGACATGGCGGACTCACGTGGTGTCCTTGTTGTGTATGGCGTGGTAGCAGTAGAAGGAGAAGACATTGCGGACTCACGTGGTGTCCTTGTTGTGTATGGCATGGTAGCAGTAGAAGGAGAAGACATTGCGGACTCACGTGGTGTCCTTGTTGTGTATGGCGTGGTAGCAGTAGAAGGAGAAGGGCTTGAAGGGCGTGGCCAGCAGCTCCACGGTGTTGGACTCCTCGCTGGTGCCCTGGGGCTTCTCACTCATGGACACCAGGGACAGCTTGTAGTTGGACTGCTCCAGGCCCAGCTGAAACATGGCAACATCACACATCCGTCAATACAGTCAGCTGGGTCTATTGGGGTTGAACTGTTGTTTGTTACATAGAGTGTTGTCAGATTAATGTGGGAGGAAAGACTCAAGTGATGCAGGCTTCAGATGTTTACCACTTTGGTGAAACAAACAGGTATGGGTATAGTGTTGGCAAAAACACCATGCCACAGGATTCTGGTATGCCCAAGGGACACAACTCTGCACAGTGAAGTGCAGTGCCGTAAGACAACATGGCCACATATGACCCCAGTCATCGTATGTTGATTAAACAAGTTTACAGCTGAATACCAAGATCTCAGATTGCAACTGTCACTTCTAAGATCAAGGCCTACAGTTTACAGTCATGAACACACAGCTGTGTGGTACACTTCCTCACCTTGATCCTGACTGTCTTGACCCCGGAGTGCATGGCGTTCCCGTACTGCTTGCCGTCAATGAGGACCTTGTAGCTGGAGATGACCATGTCGGGGTTGGACTGCGGGCACTGCCAGCTCACATGGGCAATCAGGTGACCTGCAATACACAGTGAATATCAACTTCAGCCTACTCACACAGACATGCCCAGTGTAACAGGATATGCAACTGAAACCGCAAACCACCTCTTCTACTGTTAGAGAGCATTGCAGCACCTACCTGTGTACTGTTTGAGAGCATTGAAGCTCCTACCTGTGTACAGTTTGAGAACATTGAAGCACCTACCCATGTACTGTTTGAGAACATTGCCGCACCTACCTGTGTACAGTTTGAGAACATTGAAGCACCTACCCATGTACTGTTTGAGAGCATTGAAGCACCTACCTGTGTACTGTTTGAGAGCATTGCCGCACCTACCTGTGTACTGTTTGAGAGCATTGAAGCACCTACCTGTGTACTGTTTGAGAGCATTGAAGCACCTACCTGTGTAATGTTTGAGAGCATTGCAGCACCTAACTGTGTACTTGGAGGGCATTGAAGCACCTACCTGTGTACTGTTCGAGGGCATTGAAGCACCTACCTGTGTACTGTTCGAGGGCATTGAAGCACCTACCCGTGCACTGTTTGAGAGCATTGAAGCACCTACCCGTGTACTGTTCGAGAGCATTGAAGCACCTACCCGTGTACTGTTCGAGAGCATTGAAGCAGTCCTCTAGAAGCTCCTCAACTCTGGTCAGTGTGTGTGCTCCCAGGATGATGTCCTGCAACATGAGGATGGTGAAGATTTATGATGTTTACGTTTTCAACATGTACAATGTGAACCTGGAAATAATTAAGTCTTGGTCAGGCAAAACACTGGTTGATACCATGGAAGTCAATCCATTCAGCGGGGGTGGATTGACATACAATCAATCACTTCACACATCAGTCAGCTTATTTTAGATCTCCAGTGGGTTTTCTCATTCAGTTATACCTCTATGAACTTACATCATTTTTCTCTGCTCTGATTGGATGAGCCAGGGCACCAATCTTCTTCAGCTTATGGCCCACTGCTCGTATCAACCTGGAAGTGAAACGGTGAGGTGAGGTGCGTCCAAGAGTATTGCACTTTTATAGTGACAGGCATGCACATGTGAGTGTGGCTGCTTGTACTAGTCCAGACTGATGCCGATTTCATAGTGCTAGCCCACTGAGATACCATGCCACATTTTAACATGAATACCCTACTCAGACACAGTATACTCCTAGCCAACTAGTTCTTGTTTTAGCCCCTTAATGCCGAGGGGCAGACAAGGTAACAACAAGTACCATCTTTTAACGTCTTTTGGTATGACGCGCCCGGGGATCAAACCCCTGACATTCCACTATTTGGGCGGACACTCTACCACTAGACCACGTAGGCGGTCTGGAATTAGTAAGAACAGGGTCACATATCTACAATTATGTAAGCCATTTGGCCTAATGTATTCTTTAAATATACTTAAAACCTGTTAAATCCTTTGCCTCCAACATAGTTTCAAACAGTCATTTTGATGGATGATGTCTAAAAGCTGGATCTCACCTGTCCCGCTTGTTGACGAGATCACAGGTGATCTTCTCGATCTGTCTGCGCTCCTCCAGGCCTGCGATGGTGCTGCTGATGACAGGGGGGTCGGGGGACAGGGCAGGCTGCATGCGGATCATCTCCGATCTCACCACATCACTCGTACCATATAACTGAAACAAGACACTTCCAGGAAACACTAGTAAACACTGGTAAAAGCAGTAAGTTAGGAGGTTCAATGGTTCCAGCTGAATCAGGTACACAGCAGCTCTGTACGGCCACACATACCCTGGGGATTTCTTACACGTAGCCTCAAACAAACATTTCAATATTATCCATTCATTTAAAGAGAATTAGGAAATGTAAATACCCCTTTCAAGTTTATCCAATGGATAAGTAAATAAAGCAAGGCCTTTCAATTTTTGCTAGTTGGTATACAAATTATTTGGCATAAGGGCTGGGATGGGAAACTCGGGTACTTGGGACAGGCAGGTCCTGAGTAGGACACGGGTACCCACAGGACTACCCGGACTCACTATAGCTCAGTGGTTAGACCAAAAGTCACTACTGTTCGCATTTCTTTCTGAAGACGCACACATTCCTTTTGACTTTTTTATATTGGAGTAAAGATAAAGCTTCAGTCAGCTTCAGTGTACACATGATCTGATCATTTGATACATGTATGTAAATAGTTTTGGCCAGGGCTGTGGTAAAACAATTCCCAATTAGACATTTTGTTCCCAACTCTTGAAACCTACAGTGGGTACCCGGGTAGGGTCAGGTAATAGGGGGTCAGGAACCCAGGTACCCGGGTAGCAAAGTTGGACTCGTCCCAGCCCTACACCCCCCACACGCCCTCAAAACCATCTAAAACATTGTATAAATGGCCTCACAAGTGAATCATGCAATGATGGCTGCAACTCACATGTGTTTCAAGGTAGACAGAGTAATTTCCCTTCTTAAGATGTTTAAACTCGGCCTCGCGGGTGTCTGGATGGATGGGTCCGATACTCTGCACCAGCTTCTCAGTGTCCTCCTCCACACAACACAGCTGAAACAAGTGTACACGGTCACACACAACTGGCATTACACCATATGTACCACCCATATATATGTGTCTAGCAATCTCACTGACTTACCGATGGCTATCAGCGTGGATCCAGAAGTTCTCTCAGAGGAGGCGTGCATATTTTATTTGTCACTGTTGTGTTGTTTATCACCATGAGATAGTTCGAGTAGTATAATATTTTTACACTAATATCCCTGACCATCCATAAAACTTCCAAATGCACGAATGTTTACAATACTGTAAAAGACGTGGGTGTGCACCATTGCGCGCATCTGGATGTTTGTGCATCCATACAAGAGAAGAGATAACAAAGATCACAGTCTCACACAGCCATGCACTATTAACTTGATCCTCACTGTACAGCTGTCTGACTCACCCGGTAGTGTTTGACCTTGATGCCCTCCGTCATGTAGGGAGCCTCCCAGCCCACCCTCAGGGTGGAGCTGCTCACGGAGGGGATGCGGAAGATGGCGGGTGGCTTCACCCCCGGCCACGGCACCACCAGGGGCTCCGAGGGCTTGCTGTTGAGGCGTTCCGTGGCAGTCAGGGCTTGCACTTGGAAGGAGTATTCTTGGCACCACTTGCCATGTGTGAATGTGAAGCTGAGCTGGTCTGCATTCAAGATGGCCTCCACAATTCCGTTAACATAGACCTTATAGCCTGTGACTAGAGCGTCCCCATATGTGTTGGGCTTGTCCCATTGGATGGCAATGTAGCGGAAGTTGCATGCCCTACAAGAATAAATACACGTGATACATGAAAAAGATATTTCTACATATTTATTTCAATCGAAAATCACCAATTGATGAGCAGATACTTCAGAAATTATTTACTGTCCCACTGAGAAAGAAAATTTTTGCCTCATGCAGAATGAATAATTTATACCTAGTGCAATGATTGCTTGCAAAGTCGTGTCAGTGCATTGTTGAAACTATTTGGACATGACGTCATCTAATGCTAATGTCTCCAATGAAGATATATCAGCCAACAAATGCTTGAGTTGCTGGCTCTTCTTGTGATCAGGAAACTAATGACTTTCTTCATTTTCTTACCAGAAAGACCATAAGTAATACACAGAATAAACAATTTGTGAGTCAGCATCATGAACTATGTTGAACTTCCTCACCAAGAATTGGGATTTAGAAAATTAATACCCCTCTAGATGGATATTCAGTAATTCCTCATAGATCTCAAGTTATTCTCTAACTTTACAAAATGCTTGGTTGAAAAGACACTTGTGACACAGGGTTTTCTGCTGTGAGTTTTACGTCACTATGTCCTCACCTGATGGAAAGCACTGGTCCGTCTGGTGGGGCAGACGTCTGGACAGTCAGCTGCTTGGACTTGTCCATGATCTGCCCGTCCTCGCTGTACGCCACCAGACGCACGAAGTGAGTAGTCCCTGGCAGACACTTGTTGATGACACAGTTGGTGTCCCTCTCAGACAGGCGCACCTCACGTTGCTGAAACAACACACTCGGCATTCAACAGTGGTCACGGAGAGGACAGGGCAGGGTGTCACATCACATCAACACTGTTGCATTGCAGCACAGATGGGACATGATAGGACATTTTTGGTCCAACACTACTCCACCAACATGAAAACAGTGATGGATATTACTGTCCTCTGAAATACTTATGAAATAAAAAATAATTCAGTCTCATATTATTTAGCATTTATTCCAGCCATTCCTACTCATTACTTTTTGACGTTTTCTCGTAGTAAACATATATCCTATGTGGTTCTTTTTTTACTTGTGACATACTGACCAACAATATCCTTACAAAAAGAAATGAGACTTGCACAAAGTGATCTTAGCGCTAAGACTATCGTAAGCCTATTTCAAAGTATGGGAGTTACGATCATCTTAGTGCTAAGATCGCTTTGTGCAAGTGGGCCCTGGTCTGTTGCAACCAATGGTAACATCATGCCTCCCTTACCGCTGGCTGTGCCACACTGCTCCACTGTATCTTGTAGAAGGTGACGCCCTCGGTCTCCAGGAAGGTGCTCCAGTCAAGGTGGATGGAGTTCTCCGAGATGCGCGTCACCTTGAGGGAGATCTCGTGGTCATCAGCAGTGGAGGACCAGTCCTCCAGGCTGAGGCTGCTCTCACCGGGGCGGGGGGAAGACGACGATGTGTTCACCAGCAGGCCATTGGACTTGGGGGAGTCCATGTACTCGGGATTAGAGCTCAGGGCTACCAGGTTGATCTTATATGTCCTACAAACACAGGTATTCATTTATATTAGTGGCATATGACCTAGGCATGTTTTATTCATGATTGAGACATTTGAAGAGTCTGGGAACAACCTAACCTCAAACAGAAGTTAAAAATGGCTCAAGCAGAATGACAAATGAACTCATGGAAGATATGCTGGAGAATTGGTTAATAACGTTCGAGCCTTATTTATCAATGAAGCAGTTACATCAGGACAAGGGGATACAGAGTGAGACATCCAAGTTAAACACAGGTTGGATACAAACCCAGCCCTTCTGCAAGGGAAATGAACACACAACCTACCAGAACATTTAAAGGACCATCCCAATCTTCCAATATAAGAGCTTTGGCAAAAAAAAAATAATGTTGCCAATATGAAATTCCAAAGGACTTTGTTCTTACCTGTTGGGCCTGCAAGGAATCACAGCTTTCCTATGGGAGCTACTCAGCTCATTTCCTGCCTTCTTGTCATTCAAGTAGACCTGGAAGGTGCAGAAACACAATCAGCAAAAACTCAACACAAGACTCTATCAAATTTCAGTACCACAAATTATTGTTTATTTCTTTGTTGCATGATGCTGCACTCAGCAATATTCCAGGGGCCTGTAAATATTTGAGTCTGGACCAGACAAACCAGAGACTGATATCATGAACAACATTCAGGTTACGAGGACATGGAATCAACCACTCTGATCCCCCAATCTGAGTCACCTCTTACCACCAGCATAGGCTGCTGGGGATCTACTCTCCCAACTATAACAAAACACTATTAAACATTCCTTCCTACCTGATACCCTTTAATCCTGATCCCTCCATACAACTTGGGCTCGCCCCACTCAATGATGAACTCCTCTGGTTCGACTGTTCTAAGGAAGATCTCGGGGGCATCAGGCGGCCCAGGGATCATGATCTGTATCTCCTGGGCTGTCTGAGGTATGACATCGGTGAAGTATACTGGTTCTACAGTGATGGTGTACGTGGCTCTGGAACAGGGAAATCATTCTGCACATAAGATATGGAAGAAAATGTGTTGTGTGACAGTCACAAATAATGGCCCAAAAACATCACCATTATGTATATTGGCTTGAAAATGCAAAAGTTTTGAATAATTACTCATTTCTAACAGCTGTAGTGTTAGAGACTGAACTCACTTGATCTTGGTGATGGGGATAGTACACTGCATCTGTGTGGGCTGGACATATTTTGTTTGGATAACTCTATCTTCACAGTACCACACGACATTGAACTGTTTGAGTGGAGTTATCTGCCCCTGAGTGGTCCAGGACAAGACAACATCTCCAAACGTTTTGTTGTCTCTCTCAGATTGGTGGAGGAACTCAGAAGTAAGTGTGGATATAAAGCCTGGAACAGAAGACCAAAACTTTAAGGGAATCCTTAGAGGATAAAACACAGTCTTACATGTCGGATAGCAAGTCCACCCTTCATGCTCAATTTCTGCATGACCTGATCACTGACTGAGCCCAAAGGTAGTGACAGAGTTACCTACCCTCCTGGTTTTTGGGCAGTGTCACCTCCACAGAGTCAGATGGTGCCTCGTCCAGGCTCTCTGGGTCGTCCAAGATGGTGGCATAGTCCAGGTCCTGCGGGTTAGTGTTCTTGAAGAAACCCTTGTACTGTGATAGAGAAGAATAATCCATGTTATGAAGAGGTAACTAACCTTCAATGATTATTTCAGCAAATGCTCAAGGCAGGACCACCAATAACCATTTGTTATTACTGTTCAAACTAAACTGACTTAAAGAAAAGTTTTATAACTATGCTTTTACCTTTCAGTGTTTACATCAAAACTAGAGCCAGCACAAGAATACATTTACGTAAACTTATTTCAGATAGTAAAACTTGGTTTAAAGTCTTGGTTACTGTAGCCAGTGAGGGCATATTCAAGATCAATTTGGAGCAGAATAGGTTTTGGGAATCTGTCACACAAGAATGTATTTTCCCATTATGTTTTCCTGATTCTTCTTAGTGAGACAGAAATTCAATGTCACACAAAATCGTAAATATTTGATCTACATAAACTGAAGACACTTTTGATATTAATCTCAAGACATGAGAACAATATCCTACAAATACACCAAGCCTGTCAAAGACCTTCACCTTCTGTTTCCTCTCCTTCTTAGCGTCCTCGGTACAGGTGAGTGCCACCAGTGTCACGTCGTACTTCTTCCCTGGCTTACACTTGGTGAGAGTGCAGCTCTGAGCAGCTGGCCCCAGACAACACTGCAGCTTCCCATTGATCTCCAGCTTGTAGCCCTCCAGGTACCTTCTCAGGTAGATGGGTCGTCCGTCCTCATCCTTCCCGATCACCGACATCAGCGGGGGCTTCTCCCAGTACAGGTTGGCAGTGTTCTGAGTGTAGGATGACACTAGGAGCCGGGGAGGCTCAATCGGGGCTCTTGTCCTTGCCATCAGGGCCCTGGACATAACATGAGCTGTCCTTCTATATTTCTCAATCCCAGAATCCCACTTGTCTGGATCCAGAGAAGTTTTGATGCTAACCACAGCTTCTATGACTATTCTATAATGGGCTCCTGGGGAAAGATCATCGATCGTGAGACTGTCCTCTGTAGCGAGAAGATTTACATGACTAGCAACAACCAAATCCTCATCTTTTAACCTGCCCTTCTTGACGTCTGCCCAGCGGATGATCTGACCTTGAAGTTTGTTTGACCCATACACCAATGGTGGAGTCCAACTCAGGCGTAGAGATGTTGTGGAAGATTGTACGACCTTGATGTTGGTTGGTGGCTCCGTTCCAGCAGTTTTGGACAGAATGCTGGCATTTGGAAGCCATACGGAATCATCTGGTGAGATCATGGTCTCTTTGGGTATGGAGCGGTGCTTCTTGTATTTGTGTTTGTCAGGCAGACGGTCAAAATATTCATCCGTGACAGCGACGATTCGGACAAGATAGTCTGTCTTCTCAAGCAGATGATCCACAATGGCCATCTTGGCGTCCGGCATGGTGTCCACCGACACATGGTGCGGGTCGTTGGCGTTGAGGGACACACATTCAATCCGCATAGCTGCATAAGACACATACGTTAGTATTGATCACAGCTGGGTAATATGGGGAAACATTTGGACAATTTGACATTAGCTGAAACATTTGAATGATTATTAATTCAACTTTCATGTGAGAAATGTTGAATTTGAACAATCTGACATGATTCAATACAAAGCTGACAACACTGAAAAACAGTTGATCATGTATTTCAAAATAAAATGCACATCAGCACCTATTAAGTAGTGATAACAAAATATAAAAGAAGAACGTAAAACTCAGTTAATTTATATCATTATTTTTCAATTCAGAAATAAGGTCAATAAGGACATTCCACAGTGAAGTGTATGAAGAGAATACATCCTACTATGACACCAACTCACCTATGACCTCCACTCCATGCTCCTGGGGTGGGTCCCACGCCACCTTCAGGCTGTTACATGTGGTGGCGATCACCCCCAGGTTACGTGGGGCATCGGGCGGGGAGGCAGTCTTCACGGCCAGTTGGTCGGACTTGGACGTCAGGATGAATGCATTAAGGCCATCAGGTGTCTCTGTTGTGCCTGGAAGAATCAATGGCTTCATTACTCTGGCCACAATATGAGGGAGTCTGAATACTCCTCGGTATATACCATATATCACTGTGTATAAGGCGAGTTTTTCGTACCTAAAATGAGGGGGCTAAGAAGGGGGGTCGTCTTATACACGGAGTCGAAGATCTCGCATTTTTTTCCACTGGCGATGTCGACCGGCGTCCGATAGCCAGCCCAGCATTTGACAATAAAACTTCGCATTTCGTCCTAAATAACTGTTCCAATAACTATTTCCATACATAAACATGATTTTTATCTCTTTTCCTTGAATAAAGTTTAATAATTTCTGCAAATAAAGTTGAAATGACCCTCTCCTGGATGCAGATTGTCAAACCAGCTGACACGGTAAAACAACCAACATCCGTGAGTAGAGAGCCGGAAGTACCGGTAAGCATTTGCATATTGCACATGTGACCTAACATGTGATAACCGGTGAAGCTGAAATCAATTCCCGCTGTTTTTACAGTTGTATTAACAAGTGTTGGAGACGGTGTGTACAAGTGATTGTGGAATAAACACGCTGAATGTGAAGCAAACATAAGCCTAGTTAGTTACAACATAGTTAATTGGCGATTAAATTACTCACCATTGTCTCTTATATGTTATTACTTAATAAATGAATTTTATTTTACGGGCACCAAATTGGTGTCGCACCATGTAAACACAAAATGGCGACGTGTGCCGGAGTTACACACGCGACCTATCATTGTAGAAAAAAAACAACGCAAGATAAACATATTTTTATTGCATATATAAGGTTTGTGTGCGCACTTGTGATGTGTGCGAAATACGCATCAGTCGGAAAGCGCATATTAAATCTCCAAAGTAACTAACTAACTAATTTGTGATGTCCGTGTGCGAAATACGCTACAGTCGGCAAGAGCACGTTAAATCTTCTACCGGTATATCAGTCAGACTTGTGATGTGTTTCATTCCAGGTCGCCTTATACACGGAGTATAGGATTTTGGGTTGATTTTTAAGGCGTGTACAGGGGGGTCGTCTTATACGTGGGGTCGCCTTATACACAGCAATATACGGTAAAGAAAAATAATAATATAATATTTTTAAAAAAAGAGTGAACTTGTTCTCATGCAATGGCTTTTGAAAATAAAGTGCGGGCGGGTGATATGTTTTTGTTGTTGTTGTTGTTTTTTTGGGTTTTTGGGGGGGGGGGGGTTGTTCAAACTAGTATGTAACCAAATAAACAGTTGTGTACAATCAACCTGGGAAAGGGCCTCCCTACTTAAATGTACAAGATGAGAAAAATACTGGAATGGGTATGTAATTACTGTTGGACTTGGTATATTTAACATTTTTCTTGTATAAAAATGGTAATAAAAAAGAAACATGCGGCAAACTTTATGATGATGTGGGCGGTGCCTGAAAACCAAGACTTTTTTAGCCTTAGTATGAATTAAAAGAGGGTCAAATCACAGCATCATAGCATATATACGAACTGAATAGTTTTTCAAACATAAATGACCATTATAGACACATTAGGTTTTTACTTCCTAAACTTGGCTGTACTCACAAGTTCCCTCATCAATGTCGGTGTACTTCTCCATTTTCCTGGCCTCCACAACGACAGTGTACGAGGTGCATGGCCGCAGACTGGTGATGAGCAGATGATCCTCTGTAACAACACACGAGGATCACATCACACATCGCAGCCATCTTCACACACACACAGCCACCTCTTGCTTCATTACCATTTCACATCTCACCCCCAAACTATCTGGATGTGGTTATTTAGTGTTCACAAATCAGTAACATATACAGAGAGAGGACTTCCTTGTGTGATATTTTAGTAAAGTCCTTATAGAAGCTCTCAACTACTACAGCTGCACGTGACAAGAGTTCTCTCCAATCTAACAACAAGCAGGAAGACTATTTTAAATACAGCCAATTCCAATACACAGTTTTATTGTCATGACAACCTAACATGCTTACAATGATTAAAGGTAAGTAACAAATCAAAAACCAAGATTTGACTGAAACAAACAATATACATCAACTGGAAACTATCTTATTCCACTAAAGTCAGTATCATTTCTGAGAGATAAACATATACTTTCATATTTAAGCATGCCAGATCCCCAGTCATACAAAGACCAAAGATAAACAAACTGAAAGTACTCAGCAAATTCCATGTCAAGTACAGTGGAAGTCTGTGAGTTCCAAGACTGTCTACAGCTTAATGGCAGCCTAAATTCTAAAAGGGTTATTTCCCAAATCCAGACTACTTGCATTTGAATACATCACAGGTATAGTAGAATCCATATTTATGGAAGGAAGCAGATCCTCACTCAATGTAACTAGCCTGAATCATGTGTGTGTTCAACCAAATGTTGTATTAAGTCATATAGAAACTGTCACACACAAGTCATGTGCACTACCTGAATTTGTACAAATGATCTAAACAGTGTGTGAAATAATTTTCATCAGTACAAGCTGGGTAGGCTAGCTAGGTAATGTTTTACAAGCTAATTGCAGATTAAGTTGCCATTGCCTTCCAACTATGACATGAAATCTGGTAGCAGAGAAAGAACATATTTTGTTAGTTTCAACAAGGTAAGAACTTCAATCTGAGTCAATATCAATTAATTTGGAGGAAGGATAGCCAATAGAAACATGACTTAATGACCATGTGATGCATTTGGACACTGCTTGTGAAAAGTTGTGACAGCTGAATAACAACAAATATTATTGTTTTTAGAAATCAATCTTATTTTCAAGTGAACATATCTGTTTGAGATTGGGGAGGAAGGTTTATATATATTACGTGACAATATATGAAACTTAAGCTTGCCAGTCTGGTAACCAAGTTTAAATTGTTCTAGCCAGAAAGAGCATAAAGTAGCCATGGGGTGCCGGGCACTGGATCTAAACAACTAGGACAGAGAGGACAGTTATGCAAGCCATGGGCAATCTTCCACATGGTCACCATCTCATGAAGTCACTACATGTCATGTAGAGACACCAAGTAGGCTGCATTGCTGTCTAAATAGAAGTGGCCTTGAGTAAATGAATATTGGCAGTATCATTGTGGACAGAGCTGGAGTGAGTTCCATGGCTACATGCTACAGTTGGCCTACCACACTGTCTACAGCAGGTGCATGTGCTACCACACTGTCTACAGCAGGTGCATGTGCTACCACACTGTCTACAGCAGGTGCATGTGCTACCACACTGTCTACAGCAGGTGCATGTGCTACCACACTGTCTATAACAGGTGCATGTGCTACCACACTGTCTACAGCAGGTGCATGTGCTACCACACTGTCTACAGCAGGTGCATGTGCTACCACACTGTCTACAGCAGGTGCATGTGCTACCACACTGTCTATAACAGGTGCATGTGCTACCACACTGTCTACAGCAGGTACATGTGCTACCACACTGTCTACAGCAGGTGCATGTGCTACCACACTGTCTATAACAGGTGCATGTGCTACCACACTGTCTACAGCAGGCGCATGTGCTACCACACTGTCTACAGCAGGTGCATGTGCTACCACACTGTCTATAACAGGTGCATTTGCTACCACACTGTCTACGGCAGGTGCATGTGCTACCACACTGTCTACAGCAGGGCTGTTACCTGTCGTGCTATCACTGTTGATCTCCTCCTCCGGCCGGTCACCGGGCCACCATGTCACTTGGTAGCAGTCCGGACGGATGAAGTGAGCCTTGGCTTCAAAATCTGCAACAGAGATATCACGTTATCAGAATGAGGAGATATGTTTGTAGCACTGTCTGAACCATGGCTGATTTTACAGAAACAATCTCTTATGACTCAGGCCAAAGCCACATTCAAATATTTCCCAGTGTCAAGCTACTGGAAATAATCAGTCTATTTGATGGCCTTGAGCTGTCCAGCACTGCAGGTAGCAACTCGTACATATCAAGGGTTTGAACTAAAGGGGGACATTGGGTCCTCGAGGTGTGCTGGTTTAGTCTTTGAAACACTGCATATCACCAGGCCTGCATATTGTGGCACCATGGGCAGATGGAGAAGGGGGATCCAGTAAGTGGAGCCCATCATCTATGGTTGTTCTGCCTAACAATGCAGACATACTGCACTAAAACACCCCACACCCAGATTCAATCTAAGCTTCAAGCAACAAGATATGGACAGATGGAGAAAACAGCATACAGCTGCAGATGAGAGTATCTCATTATTACATATTCCTTGAATAGAAGCATAGACTGGTGATGAGAATGCGACGCTTGACCCCAGGCTCTGGCAACCCACATGACACATGAAGTGTGCCTCAATGTGAGACTAGCCAATCACAGGTACAACAATCTTCTCCATCAAACACAAATCACAATGATTGTCACATCACAGGAAACATTTGCTTCGAAAGAGGTAACCATTAACGAAGCTCTCTTCCAGCCATAAGAACTAGCTGCTAAATCCAGACTGAGAAAGACTGAAGCCTCTGCAATAACTGATATCCCTTTGATAGAACCTACCAAGTCAGACCGAAGTGTCGTCAAATCAAGGTTGACAAGCACAACTGAAAGCACTGCTTCTCTATTGACCTAACACTTATTTTACATCGTGCCTGCAACATATCATTAACCAGCCTAATCCTGCAGAAAATCCACACAGCTCCCTGTAATAACAGTGTTACTAATCCGGTGTGTATCAGCTATATCAACCCGGGTTCCTCCCAATGGCCGACTCAGTATGTAGTGTTATTACACCGATACATCATCCCAGCCTGGTTACAATTGTGTTCCTCCACACCAGGTGTCAGCAGGACAATCCGGCCACGGTTACATCTCTAACAACAGGGAGAGTTGGGGCTCTTTGGGGTCTAATCGGGTGATCAGGGAAAATCAATAAGTTATTGACTCACTGGTTAACCCTTGTAACAAAACAGCAATTTGACTCTTTGAGCAGCAAAACATATTTACATGGCCCAACCACCACCTATACATGCCTTATACTGCTTAGGAGCATTTAGACCTAGAATACATAGAACAGTTTAAATTGGTGTTATTCTGCATTGTTTGAAAAACAATTTTACACGATACACATGCAAACAACTTGAAAATGGATGCACTCAACTTACAATGCAGGTCCTGGGGAATGCAACAAGTATGGCTGTTCGAATAATAACATTTATAATTATTGATTTGTTGATTACCTTAACTGACCTTTTTATTTGGTAAAAAAAACATTCAAAGTTTAGTATGCCAGTAGTTGGATTTCTTCCATCTAACATTGAAATCCACATCCATAGGCTTCAGGCTTCAGAGCATGACATAGTAAAAATCTTTTCAATCAAGAGAGGCACATGTTGCCAACCCTATGTTTATGCCTTGGACCCCAATAATTATTTATAAGTGAGAGTCCCCTTGACTTGAAAATAGATAGACCCAGGTAAATCCCTGTAATTCCAAGAAATAAACATCATTTTTCTTTCCTAGTTCCCCCAAGGGGGAGTTAATTCAAATCCTTGGATGACAGTACATAGTGCACTTCAGAACAGTGCTAACTCTTGCAGAGCAATGCTGAAACTAACATGTCTGAAATGTACTAGTTCTCCAAGGAAATGGACATAAATCAGGCTGCTATTGATTAGCCACTTACGCTGTCATGAGAAGATGACAGATTGACCCTGACTGTCCCTGCATTCTGTGATATTGACAACTAATAGCCCTGCAGGGCACGGAGAAGCCACTTGTACTGATAAGAGCTGATTGCAAGGTACAACTCCGAAGGCCAGGTAAACCACACCAAGGCTACTGTCTCACAGCCTGCACAAGGCTACTGTCTCACAGCCTGCACAAGGCTACTGTCTCACAGCCTGCACAAGGCTACTGTCTCACAGCCTGCACAAGGCTACTGTCTCACAGCCTGCACAATGCTCCTAGCTGGGAAACCACAACCATCTTCCAACATGTGTGTTGAGAAATATATTAAAATACACCATTAGTAGTATAAAAATGGGAGACCTATATAGGAACATTTTCGAGTTCTGGGCATGATTCAGGGGAAACATGGCACAAAACCACCATTGTGTATACTGCACCATTCCTTGTCAGCTGCGACTTACATCAATACTCTATATACCTGCATGTATCCTGTATTCTACATGGAAATAGAGAATACTGATCTGACCCATACCTACATGTGGACCAGTCATCTAAGGCGCTGAGATTCGCTGTGCAGAGTTTCGTCCCTTGGGCATGCCAGAAACCTATGATTGTTGGTTCGAATCCCGGTTCGTCCTGATTATGTTTCTAGGTTTGTCAGCACCATACCCGTGCTCGTAGGTTTCAAGTGGTAAACGTCTGAGACCTGCATCACTTCAGGCTTTCCTCCCACATTAAGCTGACACGCCGTGATATAACTGGAATACTGTTAAAAGCGGCGTTAAATCCAACTCACTCACTCACAATGAATGGTTTATTAGCTGTTTGTATACAACCAGATCACGCAGTAACTCCAGGGTAGAACCCTCAACAAAGAACTGTGCTGGCAATGGGAGAACAACTAATCGGGGACAGAACTGTACCTACCTTTGAAGTGACCTCTCACGTGAGTGTCATATCATTCATATGCATGGGCTTGCTAATTTCATTGTCATTCCACTGATGGACACTGAATACATCTCAATACACACACAGCATCCATCCCCTCGAGGCAACTTCCTATTGACCAGTCAGATTCCACCTCTCATATCATTTGCATCTGCTTCAAACAAAATGGCGGCGTCCAGTCAAGACGATCCGATTGATAATCAAGATCTATATTGTAATAAAACGGGTCTTACTTTGCAAAGTGCATGAAATCATGTGAGCACCTTGATTAAAAACATGAAAAGATTTGGAAATATCTGTTGACGCTAAGTTGATGGCACATAAGCTTTGCAAAGACCTGCAATCGACCAAAGTCTGCACGTCCATTTACGAACTGGATGTCGATTTCAATTTTAACTGGACTATGCATGGACTCATTAGTATATAACTCAGTAATTCCAGCCTTGTTCAGCAAGGGTGGAAACTGTACTTTTATAGTCAGTTATCCCCCTTGCCTCGGAAAGATGACAGCAACAGAATCTTTAAATTCCTGACTAAAGACACACTTTCCCTTCCTACTATACTGTCAAGGTAGAGCTATTTACACCCCACATGTACACAACATACATCATGAGTTTCAGACGAGAGGTTACCTGGATCGTGTTGACAACTTGTCAGCTAGATATCCCCACAAACATCCCTCGAGGAGGACTCAGGGTGGAGATTACGACACCACTGTTTGCCCTTTCCTCAGGGGTGTATGACAGCTAGGCTATATACGAGGGAGAAATCTGTCTGATTCTCTAGTCCTGGATGCCATTGTACAAAGCGATCTTATCGCTAAGGTGATTGTAAGTTCCATACCTTAACATAGACTTACAACAGTCGTAGCGCTAAGGTTACCTTGTACAACAGCACCCTGGAGACAACACCACCTCGTGCACTCAATACAGTCACTAATACAGAAAGCTTGTCAGTTTTAATTTACCCATATTGTCTATGATGATTGAAGGATTGATACTGATATCCTGAATACGTTTTAACTACAGAATTACACCATAACCCATTCATTATAAGTTCAATGATTAAGGCAACCAAAGATGATAGGTATTTGTTTTGAAAAATTATATTAATGTTTTGTACCATAAAAAGTTTCTTAACATGTTGTGAACAGGTCCGAGATGCATTGATAAATACAAGTGATATAAAAGCTGACACTAAATACACATTACCACCAGCATCCTATAACTAGCCCTACATCACGTACAAAGCTGACATTCAATACACATTACATCCAGCATCCTATTACTTGCCCTACATCATGTACAAAGCTGACATTCAATACACATTATCACCAGCATCCTATAACTAGCCCTACATCATGTACAAAGCTGACATTCAATACACATTACATCCAGCATCCTATAACTTGCCCTACATCATGTACAAAGCTGACATTTAATACATATTACCACCAGCATCCTATAACTTGCCCTACATCATGTACAAAGCTGACATTCAATACACATTACCACCAGCATCCTATAACTTGCCCTCCATCATGTACAAAGCTGACATTCAATACACATTACATCCAGCATCCTATAACTTGCCCTACATCATGTACAAAGCTGACATTTAATACATATTACCACCAGCATCCTATAACTTGCCCTACATCATGTACAAAGCTGACATTTAATACATATTACCACCAGCATCCTATAACTTGCCCTCCATCATGTACAAAGCTGACATTCAATACACATTACCACCAGCATCCTATAACTTGCCCTCCATCATGTACAAAGCTGACATTCAATACACATTAGCACCAGCATCCTATAACATGCCCTACATCATGTACAAAGCTGACATTCAATACACATTAGCACCAGCATCCTATAACTTGACCTACATGACGTACAAAGCTGACACTCAATACACATTACCACCAGCATCCTATAACTTGCCCTACATCACATACAAACCATGAACATCTGGATTGTACATGGCGTATGAAGCCTGAGCTTCAGGATTGTAAGAAATGTGAACTTTGGACTTCTCATATTTATAATTTATTCTACCGCTTTTTAACAAGTAGGTCTTAAATCCCATCAGCATCTGGTGCTATACAATATCTGACCAATCTCAAACTTACCATTC